ATCAGACTTTGAAGCAATAGACCGCCTCTCAGCACGAGGTAAAAGCACCTTATTGACCAACTCAAAGAGAAGTTGATACTCAGGCAGTAGTGCCTTCTTATACACCCGTTCCCCCTACTGGACAGCTTGTTCTTTCATGATAGCTCTCCTAAAGTTAGCACCACAGGCACCCTTGACTGAGGACACCCCTTCACATGGAATTTGGAGAACCTTCCCCAATGCTGAAGCGCCAAGCATAATGTCTACTCCATTTACTAGCACACAGATGTGATCCCCCTCAACAGTGAAAAGAGATGCGTAGAAGTTTTGTACCACATCTTCGTACACCTTAGGCACATCCTCTTGAAACAAATGCTCCCATTGCTGAAATTCCACCATCTCCAGAACTTGCCTCATACTTGCCATCTCTGAGATTGCCAAATCAAACATACGACCCCACAAGACTTTCTGAGTTCTCAATCTCTCCTGCCAGAGACCACTGTCACTAGGCATGGTCTTTGCAGAACCGAGTCCCCCTACAGTTTCACGTTTTCGTTTTCTAGAACCTTCAACAGACTTCCCTTTCCGGCTTGCAACTCCCACAGTATCTCCTTCAGACATAGCTTGCTCAACTACATCCTTCTTAGACTTACCGCTACCCTTCACAGATGTTCCACTTTGTTTTTCAATAGCTTCATCGGAAGTTCCAATCACAAACTTCTGAACTTTTGTAGATCGTTTCACTAAGGAACTAGGTTCCTCGACAGCAGCTTCATCAGCCTCACCTACTGGAGTGCTTTTGTCAGTCACACATTCCCCTTGTTTCATTAACCTCTTCTTCTTTTTCTTGATACTCCTCTTACTTTTCTGCAAGCCAGACTCGAAAGCCTCTTTCTGCTGCAACCTGGTAGTGGGTCGTTTTGGAAGAGGATTCAGGAGTTGCTGCTGGTTTGCGTATCTTAAACCGCGCGCTGAGAACCATATCATCTTCATCAACAGGGACCTCACTGGGTGGAATGGATTCCAAGGTCTTAGGATAGACAAAAGGTTCCTGGGTAGTTTCAACTGGAAGAGAATCTGGTTCTCCAACAGGTTTTTCTGTGACCTTATCATGGACTGGAGACTCGAAGAGTACCAAAGTTCCTTCATCCCCTAGGAATGGAGTTTCTTCCTCCTGAGCCTCAGATACAAGGAAGGCTCCATCATTCAGAAGACTCTCAGCAGCAATAGCCATGATATTGTGTGCTGCTTCCTTTTCTGGTGACTCCATGGGAGCCACTGAGTCTAAAATAGAGGAGTTCAAATATTGATCAGGATCATCCTCAGAGACTTCTGATAACTGAGGGGAAACACTTTCTAAGCGTTCTTTAGTGAGATCAGAGAAGGAGGAGAAATAGGGTTTTCAACACGTGGAAGGGAGACAGAGTTTGACGGAGAAGGAGAGTTGATATGAGATAAGGAGGAAACAGGTGTGGGTACAGTAGTATTGGGAATGGTGGAAGAGTGGATTTCTGGGGGTGACATTAACGAACATGGAGAAGTGGGAGCGGTGTTGATGGAAGGAGAAGAAGGAGACAGTTCGTTTGCCATTATAGAAGAGTTTGGTAGAGGAATTTTAGTGAGAGAGAAGGGAAAAGGGATCACAGAGATACAGAGGAGATGAAGGTTCAGGACTGCTGTGAGAGAGAGGATTTTATGGGAGGAGGAGCCAATAATGAGAGGGAAGCAAAACGGGTTCTGTAGGTTTATGGGAATATGTAACATGCAGAGGAGGTGAAAGGATTTAAGACAAGACGTGACATGTAGACTCTGAAAAGGTCGGATGATGTGGCGGTTGAATTAATTTTGTCAACTTTTTGAAAAAGCATGCGAACAACACATCACTACTAACCTGTGGTACAAGAACCTGGTTCCTGACCACTTTTTGTAGAAGATTTTTTTTTTGCAGCTCTCTTTCGCAGTTCAACACTGTACCTTTAGCCTCTATGATCATCATGCGTGTTTACCTGCAACAGTATAGATGTGAGTTAGGCCTAGTCAGAAAACACTTTAGCCAATTTTACCTGAATGAGACTTTCAAGATCATATGAGCAGAACCAGGTTTTCATGTAGGTTTAAATAACCCAAGTGCCATCCTATTTCTCTCAAAGTGTTCCCTGCTCACAGTTTTTGTGAAGGTGACTATGATTTGATCTTCTGTGCAGCAGATTCTCATACAAATGAGTCCCTTTTTCCACATTGTTCCTGAGACAATGGTGTCTGACATCAATGTGTTTGGTTCTCTTTTGCCGGACCGGGTTCTTTACCATGTTAAGAGCGTCTGCTTCAAATGTTGAGAGAGCCATTAGGTTGTGTTTCCTTGTAACCCATGAGATTAAGCATGATACAATAGAATGATCCATTCTAGATGTGCTCTTCTTGACCACCAGATAACCTTATTTCTTTCAGGTTGATGTAGTTCCTCTTGCAATGTTGTAGTCCAGTCAGCATTCTTCAAGGCTTCCTTGACATTTTTGGGTTCTATCCGGGATAGCAATACAGAGAGGACTAGGGAATTTCTGGCTTTTGATCTTGTCTGAATCCAGAATCAGGGGAGGTGATTATGTTATCAAGTGGATGGTAGCTTTTGTGTTTCTAACTGGGGACTGAAGTTTTATTAGTGGAGAAACTGGGTAAATTGCGAGGATTTCCCTGCACTCCTTGTTCTGCTACTTGTGGAGTACCTTGTATTGCATCTCCAACTCTTTCTTCAGCTTCAATGGCAATAATTGAAGTACCAGGTTCCTCTTGGAGAAGTGGAAGAGGAAGTTGCATTGCCTTCACCTGTCTCCTTCATCTGACTCATCATATCAGCCTTGCCATTTGAAACATCAGATATTTCCTCAGGAACAAGAATGGCTCATTATTTTGATCATCATTGTTACCTCCCTTGTTAGAGGAGGGTGTCTCGTTTAATGGCATATGAGCACTTTCTTCCATATGTTGTGTCTGCTTGTTGTATATCTTGTAAGCTTTGCTTTGAGAAGAGTACCCCAAAAATATTCCTTCATCACTCTTGGCATCAAATTTACCAAGATGATACTTTCCATTGTTGAGAACATATCATTTGCACCCAAATGTTATTAGGTGAGTTAGCTTGGATTTCCTTCCAGTCAGCAACTCATAGGGGGTTTCGTTCAGGACAGATTTGATCATGCACCTGTTCATCAGGTAGCACACAATGTTTATTGCCTCTGTCCAAAAATTTTTGCTATTCCACTGACAGTGAGCATTGTCCATGCCATGTTTTCCAGAGTTTTGTTCTTTCTTTTAACAACACCATTTTGCTGTTGAGTCCTTGTGTTGTCAAATTCTGTTCCGGGGTCAGATCTGATGCAGGCTACTTTCAGTCCCATCTTCACTTGGATTTTCTTGACAAAGGCCACAAATACCTTGAAGTCTCATATTTTGTCCTCAGAAACAGTGTCCAAGTGAATCTTGAGTAGTCATCCACAATCACAGAGATATACCTCTTTTCACTCTTGCTTAGTATTCTCATAGGACGACACAAATCGACATGAAGGAGTTCAAATGGTTTCGGTGTGCTGACATCCCTTTTTGGGCTTAAAGGATGATTTCACATGTTTTCCTCTAGCACATACATTGTACACTCCGTGTTCTTTGAACTTTGAATTTGACAGACCATGGACCAGGTCTTTCTTCATTAATTTATCCAGAAGTGAGAAACGTGTATGCCCCCAATCCTTTATGCCAAGTCTCCGAATTATTATCAACTGCATTCAAGCAACTCATATCACCAGCTTAGACACGAACTTCTACCTTGTTTTCTTCCCGATACCAAGAATGTACCCCTTCTTTCCATTTCCAAAGGGTACATTCCCTCCTTGCAGGGCTTTCAGTGAGAGAAAATCCATGGTGTTTCCAGTCATGTGCTTTGAGCATCCACTGTCCATGATCCATTGCAGTTCGCTTCCTCTCACTGTTCCCTGCACATCTAAAATATGGGTTAGATTTAGGAACCCAAACTATTTTGGGTCCCTTATAATGAGAAAAAAGATGAATAAGAGCTTTTCTAGTCCATGCAGGCAATATTCATTTCTTGCGTGTGGTACCTGGTCCCTCTTTAGTAGTCACTCTTTCAGTAAACAATTTGTTTTTCAGAACAGATCTATTGTTTTGCTTTGGACAACAATTTTGTATTCACTCATAAAAGAGTAATATTTTAAACTACACTATTGGTACAATTTATTGAGTATTTGTTTTTACTTTTTAGTGAGGTAAAATGTGTAGTTTGATAAACCCAAGTATTCTATCTACGTGATTTTACTTTGTACACACTAGAACAAGTTTACAAAACCAGCTATTATTCGATTATTTTGGTAGCAGCAAAGGCAAATAAAACCTGTTAAGCATCACAAGAGAATGATCTTGGTCAAGTAGTGTACTGTCTTTTTCCTTAAAAAATATGTGAGAATTTCAAAACGTCCAGAGCTAGTGTGTCACACGGAGCAAAATATGACTAGTATTGGCTTGGAGGGAGGGGTTTGAATGTTCACATTTTTATCAATTCTATCTATCACAACCTAAAACACCAAAACCTAGCTTGGCTTCCCAAATTTTAGAAATATATGGCGAGATATCATGTACAAAATCCACTTTTATAGATCAAGTGAAGTAGTCCTCCATTGGATTAATTGAAGAAAAGGAAGAACGAGAGAGGTGTTTGGTGTTAAGAAAAATGTTTCAAAAAATTAGTGGTTTTCTTACTTATCTTTCAGCATTTGGTTGGTGAGTGAAAAATATTTTTCCAAAAAAAATAAAAATTATAATGAGGTTGGTGAATAGAGAATATTTCCATTGTTGGGTCTGTACGGCGAAAACTATTTTCCTATTAATATAACAAAAATAGTTTCCAATGCTCCTCCACCTATTCGCTCACCAAATCTGATACAGCTAGCATGCATTGCATTGCATATTCACGAGATAACTCTAGTCATTTACAGCAAGAAATGAGAGACAAATAAAGGGGAAAAAACAGCAATGAAATAGCAATTGAAACAAGTTTGAAAGGTGAAAAAAAGAAAAATTAACTACAAGAAGATAAAAACATCACTGGTGTTTCTGAACTGAACAACAGGACAGCCTCCCTTGTCTCACTTAACATGGTAACGTTAGTATCTAGTAGGAACTCTCTCACAATATAAACAAGTTCGTAAATTTCTTTCAGGACATTCACAAGAAGTACGATGTTTGCACATATTCTTCCAAAATGCAACTTCTTGTAAACCATTCCTCTATGTAAAACGCTTATCATAAACAGTGAACATAGGGGCATCCTGTTAAACGGCAACAAAACGAATGCAATATTTGATACTGGAGATCCTAGCTGATGAGGTGAAGGAATTGGTCATCTCGTTCAAGCGTGTTTCAGATGCCACTAAGCAACAACTTGGAAATGAATGTTTACCTAACCATCAAGATAATATATCTTAAAACGGTTAGAAGCACATGGAATACATTGCAAACTCTACTAAACAAAAACAAAAAGAAGTTAAATCTCGGATTGGAAGATAACTTGAAGATGACTACTAATAGTTCTAGAGTCTATGCACTCCATATTCAGGTATATTGAAAACAAAAGACTTTGTTCTACTCATTTCTGACTTATCTTATATACTTGAATTCAATTTCGGTTAATACTATTATTATTTTGTCATTGTAATTTAGGCCAATCTTACTCATGAGAAGTCCATCAACAAAAAGATTGAAATGTTTGAAGAAATGTCTCTTGTTTGGAGGAACAATCGAGCTAAGGCGATTGTACTAAGTGATTTAATTATAAAGACTTAAACTGTAGTTCGGAGAAAAGTAACGTTAATACCATTGAAAGACCATCCAACGGAAAAGATGTGTCATCAAGTTCAAATGAAACTTCTCAAGTTAAAGCAATACGTAACAAAGTCATTCTTCTAATGCACATGATGAGGTCAGTAACATATAAATAAAGCTCGAGAAGTGGTAGCCATCATTAAATAAAATAGTTGATAGTCTACCATATGCTACAAGGTTGCACAACGAAATTCTGACAATTGAAGGTTTAGAGGAAGAGTTCTTAGCCATAGCTTTTGATTATTGGTGTAGAATGAATGTTAGCTAAGGAGCTTATGGCAAAAGAAACAGAATTCCGCAAGTTGTGGACTTGAGGTTAGAAAAATGTAAGCAACACTAAATACATCAGATTTTTGACTACGTGATTATACTAATTTCTCATGGCCCAATTGCAAATGGTTGTGCCGGTTAGAAGAAATTGATGGGGTTGACAATAGTATTATAGTTTTTCATTTTGTTCTTTTGTTTGATCTGCTGTAACCAGATTGGTTGTCTAATTTTTCCTTCTCAGTCTCCATCAAAAATCTATTTATCCATTTGGGTCTACTGATATTATTCTAAACGCTTTATTATCCTAAGCACTTTATACATATAGGAAAGGAGAATGGTTTCCACAATGTTGGTTTTGGAAGACTATGTACAGCACGGTACACCTTGTGGGTGGCATGAATAGATACTCATGAACTTGTACATATTGTGATAATTCCCACTAGATGCTACTTTTACCATATGGAAGGTTGTGTTCTTGCTTAATTCGCAACCTGCAATAATACTTCCATCTTATCATACATCAAGTTTTCTACCTTTCTATTTTGCTGTTTTATGGCTTGGTGAATAGTAATGGGTTGGTTCTGGTTTAGAATAAAAGGGTAGCCTGGTGCACAAAGCATCTCGTATTCATGCAAAGTCCAGGGAAGGGCCAATACCCCAAGTGGTGTGATATTGACAGTCTACCCTAATGCAAGCATTAATGCCTGCTTCTACGGCTCGAACACGTGACCTATAAGTCATACGGGGAGACAACTTTACTGTTGCTCCAAGACTCCCCTTCATACTAGATTAGAGTAAGTGAGGCTATTTAGTTCATGCTTATCTTTTTGTTTTAGTTGCTAGTTCATTGCTGATCTTTTTTGTTTCAGTTCTTTCATCTCTCATCTCTAGGTACGAATGACTAAAGTCATCTGGTGAACATGCAATGCATATTTAGCTATATCAGGTTTGGTGGGGAAGGGGGTGGTGAGAGGAGCTATTTTTGTAATACTTAGGAAAAATAATTTTCTCCTTACAACAAAGCAATAGAAAATGTTTTCTAATCACCTATCAAACAGGCAAACACTAAAAAATATTTCTGAGTCACCAACCAAACACTGGAAAATAAGTAAGAAAACTACCTATTTTCTTGGAAATCATTTTCTGTGGAAAACATATTCCTTCATACCAAAAGACAATATATATGTTTGATTATAGAGTGGTAGCAAACCAGTGCATATCTAATGGGTTTTTAGATTAACAGACCTCTTGAACTTCACCCTTCAGAAATGGTCAGTTTCCCTACAGGAAATATTGAGAAAAAACAGATAAAACTTCCTTGTAAACAGGCTTCTTGAAATCCACTGCCTGTAGAGACGATTTTGGATACAAGTCAAATTAGAGCCTTAATTTGTTTTAGGAGAAACTTCAATGGTCAAAAGGTCCACTTACAAATTCAACAACTTGCTCCGGTGACATCCATGACCACTCTCCAAACTCAGCCTTCTCTGTCCCATCGCCTAGAAGGTTGATTTCTTCGTCCTTTCCAGTGAACTTAAATAAGAACCTAGAATTTTCCACATTGTATTTCAGTGCCGTTAATACTCAGGAAACAACTGAGATCTATAAAATTGTTTATCAAGGAACATGAGAAACAGAGTTTCATGATAACGAAAACTGATCTAGCAGAGTAACAGTCACTAACATCTAGACAACAGCTATATAACATGTATACACACACCAAAATGACAGCATGCACACCCATTGCCACAAAAACTGGCAGTCTAATTTAGTCCGTGCACAGGAAAATAACATAATAGATATAAACAGCAGCTCCTCCTGGAACGTAGTAGGTAGTCTAATTTTAATTTAGACAAGGTTTAGATGACTACTGAGTTGGTACATGACCCTTGTTACGGGTTAACAAACATTAGTGATTTGTTTGGGAAAAAAAATATTTTATAGGTACTGGTATTGCTAAAGCAATAGTATATTTTATGTATCCAAGTGCAAAATTGCTGATTTAGATGCACCTACCACTTTTGTGCTTGACCTTTCCAGTCAGATCCCCATTGATGCCTTAGCTTTTCCCTAACGTCTGGTGGGAAATCATACGTTAACCAGTGTGGAGCCTACATAGGATTTAGAACGCCATTAACCAGCCTAACAATACTCAAGATAGGAGATTGCATCTAGCTAAGGAAAAGGACCAGAGATAAAAAAATATAAAAGAAACATTAAGAGATGAGAGTAGAATCTACTTTTCATACCTCAGCAACGATTTCTGCTGAAGTAACCCCAGTTTCCTCTCTTAATTCCCTAATGGCAGCATTTCTTGGATCTTCGCTTTCATCAACTCCACCCTGATTCAAACAACCATATATGTGTCATTTTTCCTATTTATTACAAAAGACCAAGATCTCGATAAAACACACAATTTCCTAACTTTTGAGATTTCGTTCATTCTCATTTTTTTACAGTAAAGAAAACACAAAGTTTTGTAATCTTAAAAGACTAACATCTTATGGGAATTTGCAAAATTTTCAAAAGAGAAAGGAAAATGCATACGAAGTTTTGTAGGAATACAAATTTGAAAGGCTCCAGATAACTGAACGTTGAGATCTTACGAACATAGACATACATTTCACACTCATACAGAACAAAACCATATTCTGAATACATGTCAATGGCATTTCATTACAGAATTGGACATTGCAATACAAATTTGTAGTTTCTGATTAGAAAGAGGGTTAATAATCTTCCTTGGTCTTTATATTGGGTAGTTCTTTAAGATCACTTCATTTTAAACAGACTTGATTCAATGAAGAAAAAAGACCTAACAAAAGGCCATTTGCGACAAAGGCATCAAGCCCGATTAGTATGATCTCTACTCTTGCGCCTCAACGGATCTATTTTGATTCAAGTGACCACACTATTTTCTATCATGATCCATTTGGGAACATGTGTGCGAAACTAGAATCGCTTTTAGAATGTGAAAAACGCAAATGCAAACAAGTAGCAATTGGCCAAACATGATTTTAGTTGTGGAACTCAACACAGTTTTCTAAACAACTATTTCTTAGCCTGTAATTTAGTTATTTTACGGATATATATATAATGACACTAGAAAGTTTAGATCCCGGTTGTACTTTTATTGCTAAGTGTAAAGGATTCATGTTTATTGGAACCTCATATTCATATCTCTTCTAGAACTTCACAATTGTTCGTTTATTTTAGCCACAAGCTGGAACCATATGGGTGATATAACGTTTCAAACTCACAACAGGCCTTAGCAATTTCATAATTCCATAGAGCATTGATAATATCCAAAACTTTAGGTAAACTAATTACGAGACAGAGTAGTCAATATTAAAGTCTGTCCTATTGCATTGTCGTTAAGCAAAACTTTTGTAGCTCGCTATCGTATTGAGCACTGTAACCTAATCAATAAGGGAAGAGAAAGAACGATTCTCTTCCCTTATAAGTACTAGGACTTAACAGTTAAGCAATAGTTAAGGTCTTGCTAGGATAGTTGAATTCATTTTCTCTCTCTCTCTAATACCCAAATCCACTTAAGCTCATAAAATATCACTCATAGAAACATGTTCCTAGCCAGTTAGATGAATACTTAAATCATTTCATCATGAAAATAAGTTTGATGCATTACCCTAAATTTTAGAATTATAAATTAAAACGAAAAAATGAAGAACCCAAATGAGAACTACACAATTTACCTGCGGCATTTGCCAAGCACTAGGTATATCTAGCCTCGAAGCAGCAAAAATCTGCAACATTCAGATCAAAACTTAAAAAAATAATTAAATCAAAGATTAAACAAATAAAACAACATACATCGATTACTCTATAAATAAATGCAAACAGAAAAGAAAGACCTTTTTATTAGAAGGGTTCATTAAACAAATGCCCACGTTTCTTCTGTAACCTTCAGGTGGGTTCTCCATTGATGATTGCGGCTGTAATGGTACTGAAGCAAAAGAAGCTGTTTTGCAGCGTCTAAAGCGAAGGAGTGGCAAAGCGGTAATTTGGTGGGATTTTGGAGGGTAGTGTGGGGAAGGAATTGAGGTATTGAGCTGCAATGGAAGACGAGAAAGTGGAAGATTACAGATGAAGGATCGACATAAAGCCATTTAACATAAACCAAACACTCTCTGTTTATGGGTTCGCAATTGGTTGAGGTTCTTCACCTCAATGGACCGTGTCATTGGCACGTGATCAAACTTCTCAATTTTTTTTTATTTTTTTTTTGGAATTTGATTTATATTTACGAAAACGCTAGAATTTACATTTAAACTAGAGAAAATATCCTAAACTGTCACCTTTTTGCCAGTTCCTTACTTAAACTATCGCCTCCCCCAAAACCGCCCGAACTATATCCTCATTCGTATTAAAATCCCTTCGCTGCTTATATAGCGTATTTTGTGTAATAACTCGTAAAAGAGCGCGTGAAGGTTAGAAAAATTCATCAAAATGGACCACATAATAGTGTCTAACTGCTAATTAGCCCTTATTTTTTAAAAATTTTGTTTTTTTTTTTTGTATTTTTTTTTCTCATTTTCTTTATATCACCTTCCTTACTCATTTTCCACCTCTCTTCTTCATTCTTTCACCTTTCTTCTCCAATTTTTTTACCCTTCTCCTCTATTTCTCCATCCGATCTCTTTGATACAACATAGGGAGGACCATGCCCCAAACGCTAGTTATTAAGGTGGGAGACCCCATCCGATCTCTTTGATACAACCTAGGGAGCATCATGCCCCAAACGCTAGTTATTAAGGTGGGAGACCCCAAGGCTATATAAATCTCACATCAACACATTGCAATACTGATGTGAGACTCAAGTCTCATACCTTACAATGGATCATAACAAACCACCATGCTTCGCATTCGTCGTCCCCGACGGCTGTGCGCTAGACTTTTCTAGCCTCGGGAGAACACTGCAATACCGGTGTCACCATACATGGCACAGAGGGCGGTGGGTGACTCTGATACCATTGATACAACCTAGGGAGAACTACACCCCAAAAGCTAGCTATTAAGGTGGGAGAGCCCAAGGCTATATAAATCCCACATCAACACATTGCAATACCAATGTGGGACTCAAGTCCCATACCTTGCAATGGACCATAACACTCTTGTTATTGAATTTCTCGTCAAGCTTATAAAAAATATTTGCAGAGGAACAAGATATATGAGAATGATGGAGTATTCATAATGCAAGCGAGATAACCCACATAAAGATCTTATTATATAAAGTACACTCGTCTATTTTCTTCGTGCTACTCTTTCTTTTGTCCTCGGGTGGAAGGGAGTAGATGAAGTTGGTGACCGTAATTTGTTTTGGTATGACGTGGAAGACTTGGAACTGACATGGAATATCAATGATAAGAGAGATCGAACGGTAAACAATAGTGGCACAATTTTATACTCAACAACCTAAATTGAATACTTTGCAAAAAGGAGACAATCATCGTCTTAATGAAAATAACCCAATAACCCAAATCAAGGGTTTTTGGAGAAAAATGAAGGCTACAACGAAGCTTAATGGAGAAAATCGCTAGTGAGAGAAAGAGAAGTAATTATCGGAAGATAGCAGAGAGAAGAGGATTTTACTGAATGTTTTTTTGCCCTAGACCTCTTATATATTTTAGTCGGGTGAATAATATTTACCAACTAAATAAATTGTGACTAATGTTTAAAATACGTAATTAAGCTATATTTTAGGCTAGTTAATATCCATGTGGAGTGCCACATGGCACGTGTCACGACCCGGATTTCCCATCCTCGGGAGTCGTGATGGCGCCTACTAATGAGAGCTAGGCAAGCCAAATTAAATTACTTGTCCATTAATAAGCTAATCCATTTTTAATAATTTACGACAATAAAACAAGCAACGAAATTTAATAATAAGCGGAAGTCTTAACATTTTATAAAACTGAATAAAATACGGAAAGTTCAACAAAATCCTCTACCCAAGACTGGTGACACTGTACTCACGAACTGCTAAGAATACTACATACAAACGTCTGAAAGAGAGCATAAACTGTTTGTCTCGAATACAATGAGATAACAGATAAAAATAAAGGATAGAGGAGACGCCGGGCCTGCGGACGCCTGCAAGGCTACCTCGGGTCTCGCTGAAATGAAGCCTGCTCCCACCCTACTGCTGCTGCTGCTCGAAACCCGGATCTTAACTTCCACGGCCAAATCAATCCACAACAACCGCTTTCCCTCTCGAATTCGGCTCCAACTCAATCAAATCCAAGAAGTTTTGGTGAAAGGGAGCTTCAATGGACGCTTAGAAACCTTGGAGAAGAAGAAGTTCGTATGTTTTTATGAAAAATTCGCGACTACACTGTTTCTGAAAATTAAATATAACTGGGAAAAATATGCCTTCGCGTTCACGGAAAGAGAGTCGCGTTCGCGAAGGGTTGACTCAACAGAACATCGCGTTCGCGATGGGGTAGGACGCGAACGCGAAGAGAAAAGGCTGGGGGGGTCCAGGATTTGGTCTACACGAACGTGTGTACACTTACGCGAACGCATTGGAGGGAGCCCTATAAACTACGCGAACACGAGGCTATAGATGCGAATGCGATGAGTAAAATGGAAGCTAAGTCTTCAGAGTCAAAAGACTCTACGCGAACGCGAGTCAGTAGTGCGAACGCGATGAAGGGAAAAATCATAGCTTCGCGAACGCGAAGGAGGCGTCGCGAACGCGAAGAAGGAACTGGGTCTGCAACAGCTGAAGAATTTCTGCAACTTTCCTAAGTTTGAAACCATCCCGAAACACTCCCGAGCCCTCGGGGCTCCTAACCAAACACACACACTATCTCAACAACATCCTACGAACTTAACCGTGCGATCAAATCGCCAAAATAACATAAAAAATAATGAATCAAACCTCAAAATCACTAGTTTTTCCTCAAACTTCATAAACTTTCAAATTTAGAGTTTTAAGTCCGAAACACGTCAAACGACGTTCGTTTTCAACCGAACTTTACAGAAAGCGCTTAAACCATATATAAGACTTGTACCGGGCGCCGGAACCAAAATACGGGCCCGATACCATAGTCTTTTAATCAAATCTCATTTCCAATTTCCTTAATTATTTCCAGAAAACAATTTCACACAAAAATTTATTTCTCGGGCTTGGGACCTCGGAATTTGATTCCGGGCATACGCCCAAGTCCCATATTTTCCTACGGACCCTCCGGGACCGTCAAATCACGGGTCCGGGTCCGTTTGCCCAAAATATTGATCGAAGTCAAATTTAGACAATTAAATATCAAAATTTAGCGTTTTCCTCACAGAATTCATATTTAAGCTTTTCGGCTACGCGCCCGGACTGCGCATGCAAATTGAGGCAATCCTAAATAAGGTTTTCAAGGCCTCGGAAGCACGGAATGAGTAAGAAAATAGGTGATGACCCTTTGGGTCGTCACAGCACGTTTCTTACAAATTTACGAGAGTGTATCACACACCATTAAAGATACGACGCGGAGGGAGGGGGGTTTAATATGAAGGAGGATATAGTTCAGGGGGTTTTTGGGTCAGACGATAGTTTAGGTAGGAAATTGACAAAAAAGTGATAGCTTATGCGGGTTTTAGGGTTTTTACTCTTTAAATTAGTACTTGTTTTGTCTTATATTTGCCTTCCGTTTATCTTTTGATCCATATTTGTCTCTACTCTCAAACATTTGGCCATCTTTGCTTTGACACTTGGTGCTGTGGAGCCATGTAGGCAAATAAAAGACTAAATTTATCTCTAACTATTAAATTAGTTGATACATACTATAATTTGAAGCTGCCGTTGAAAAATAAAAAAGGTCCAACTATACGACTGAACAAGTAAAATAGGTCCAAATGTACACCTACATGGATTTCACCATACCAAATCAGACCAATATTTTCACAATGGAAAATAATTGGAGGGACATATTTGAGACAAAAGATAATGGTAGGGAATCCTACAGGCGAAAGGTAAACGTAGCACATATATAAGACAAATCTTAAGGAGTACATTAGTGTTTGACCCGTAAAACGGTACAGTTGAATTTATACGTGGTTTCTAAACAAGAACTAATTTGATCCAAAAATAACAAAGCAATTGAAGAATAATGCGATACTTAGCCTCCAAATGTAGATAAAATAGCAGAAATGACGATTCTGGGAGCAAGACTTCCGGTCACAGCAATGATGAGATCAAAAAGCAAGAAAGTAAATGATATAGAGCTTGTATAGAATGTAGTATAAGTTTGCCAGAAAATTCGTATCCTTTACAATGATAACTGAGCTCTTTATTTATAGCTATATCTTAGGAAGGAGGTCCTATGATCGTGCCCTCCTTTAATGTCAATAATGAGGGTCATTGATAAAGGTGCAACAATGAAAATAAATGTCAAATTCCTTGTAACGGGCTGCCGTTCTTAATACTGCAGAATATTCTCTATTAAATGCTACCGGACGCAAAGCATTTAATACACCTTTATGAACATTCTCTCTCGGTGACAAGCGGAATAGCTGCGTTCGGTGACCATCTCCGTCTTGGGTTCCACGTATCCTTCCTTTAGGTGACCACATGTCATATCATATTTTTCCCTATACAGATAGTCCCCATACTTTCCGGTGACACAATCTTGTATTACCGGGAAGTTGGTAGAAATACTTCTTTTGGCGGGAATTACTATAATTCTCTTTGCAGGCTTCTAACAGCTGATTAGACGCACGTCTCTCTGTATTTAATGCCCCGAACACGTGACATCCCACGATTCAGCACAACCTTTGCCAATTATCGAGTTAATCATGGCCATGAATTTAGCCGCCAAAATTTTACTTATACGCATCACCTTTCTCCTATGTACTTCATAAAATCTCAACCGTTAACTTGCATCTTTGTTTTCCATCTTTCCCCTAATTCTCTTCGAACCAGAAACCCTTCTCCTTCTTCTTTTACATGGTTTCTTCTTCCAAACGCTCTGGATCTTCAAAGAAAAAGAACAAGGCTGAGGATTTTGCTCCTCCGACGGTAGGTTCCATTATCCCCCGAAGTCTTAACACCAAAAAAGACTTCGAAGAGAAACTCCCTACTGCTAACTCTCGTTCATGGACTATCAGTAGGTATCCTTCTTCAATTCGCCCTTCTAGTATTCCTACTATGAAGTAAGATTGTCGTTGC